CTTGTCCGTGGTGACGATGTACTCTGGCCCCCATGTTATGACTGGCATATCCAATGTGGACAGCAGGTTGGACACGTACTGGCCACTGGCTGGACTTCTGGAGTGGAAGTACGGGTTGACCAGGTGGAAGACGGTTGTCGTGTTAGAGTTGAGGATATCCTCACAGAACGCCTGGGGTACAAGGAGGAAAGATTTCAGGTAACTTAAGCTAGGCTAGAAGGTGAAGGTGGAGGGGCGCAGTTGAAAGAATATCCTCACAGAATGCCTGGGGTACAACTGTAAACATAGATTTCAAACAGTTTAAGCAAGTCTAGAAAGTGAAGGACATAAATTTGAAGACTGACAAGATATTTCAGTTATCTTGCTGGTGGTGTGTGTGTGTGTGGGGGGGGGGTGTCTAGTGAAGTGTGAAGATTTACAAGATATTTCAGGTCTAGTTCTCTTGCTTATGGAGGCTGGTTGGGGGGGGGGTGTCCATTGAGATTGTCAAAGTAGCGTTTAGTATGAGACATTTCTCTAAAGATAAATGTCCAAGTTTACTGATTGTTGGATCTCGTACATTTTATTGACGCCCATCAAACCTCTTGTAGGCTGGAGTTGCTCTGGTTCTAGAGACGATCTTACTTTGGCTTAATCGTTAATAGCTTAATTTGTTCTGGCAATTTTAATTGGTACTTTAAGCACTTCTTGACATCAAATGTTGGTAGTTTAATAGCGTCATCTTAGCATTACGGTTTACGCTATGGTATCCGGGGGAAATACTATGTCGATTTCTTCAATTCAGCAAGATTTTTTTACACTTATTAAGCAAAAGAAATTCTTCATAGTTACAGTTATGTTCGCTCCTTACCCTTCTTTCAAATTCATTATCTATCTGCACAAAATCATACCTAAGCTCAAATAATTTTCACTATTCACTAAACAAATCATGGACACTATTTGCCTACTCTGTCCACTAAGTCCCTACTAACCAAATCATGAGCACCGTTTGCCTACTCTGTCCACTAAGTCCCTACTCATCGAATCATGGTCACCATTTCCTTACTCCCCCCCCCCCCCCCACCCAAAAAGTCAAAGCTTACCCTGAGGATCTCAGGTCTCTTGTTAGCAAGCAGGACCATCTTCCCACTACACTTACCCTTAAGATCTCCTTGGGCCTCTCGTTAGCTAGCAGGACCATCTTCCCACTACACTTACCCTACGGATCTCCTTGGGCCTCTCGTTAGCTAGCAGGACCATCTTCCCACCCAAAAGGTCAACACTTACCCTACGGATCTCCTTGGGCCTCTCGTTAGCTAGCAGGACCATCTTCCCACCCAAAAAGTCAACACTTACCCTAAGGATCTCCTTGGGCCTCTAGTTAGCTAGCAGGACCATCTTCCCACCCAAAAGGTCAACACTTACCCTACGGATCTCCTTGGGCCTCTCGTTAGCTAGCAGGACCATCTTCCCACCCAAAAGGTCAACACTTACCCTACGGATCTCCTTGGGCCTCTCGTTAGCTAGCAGGACCATCTTCCCACCCAAAAGGTCAACACTTACCCTACGGATCTCCTTGGGCCTCTCGTTAGCTAGCAGGACCATCTTCCCACCCAAAAAGTCAACACTTACCCTAAGGATCTCCTTGGGCCTCTAGTTAGCTAGCAGGACCATCTTCCCACTACACTTACCCTGAGAATCTCCTTGGGCCTCTCGTTAGCTAGCAGGACCATCTTCCCACCCAAAAAGTCAACACTTACCCTACGGATCTCCTTGGGCCTCTCGTTAGCTAACAGGGCCATCTTCCCACTACACTTACCCTACGGATCTCCTTGGGCCTCTCGTTAGCTAGCAGGACCATCTTCCCACTACACTTACCCTAAGGATCTCCTTGGGCCTCTCGTTAGCTAACAGGGCCATCTTCCCACTACACTTACCCTACGGATCTCCTTGGGCCTCTCGTTAGCTAGCAGGACCATCTTCCCACTACACTTACCCTAAGGATCTCCTTGGGCCTCTCGTTAGCTAACAGGGCCATCTTCCCACTACACTTACCCTACGGATCTCCTTGGGCCTCTCGTTAGCTAGCAGGACCATCTTCCCACTACACTTACCCTAAGGATCTCCTTGGGCCTCTCGTTAGCTAACAGGGCCATCTTCCCACTACACTTACCCTAAGGATCTCCTTGGGCCTCTCGTTAGCTAGCAGGACCATCTTCCCACTGGGCAGGAGGTAGCGGAGCATCTCTCGATACTGGGGCTGATTGGTCTCTGAGAAGATGGCGCTCCTGACGATCCTGTCGTAGTCTCGGTAGAAGTTGAGGTGTATGACCAGCCTCAGGGACACAGTCTGTGGGGGGAGAAGTGTGGTAGTTGAGGTGTGTGGGGGAGAAGTGTGGTAGTTGAGGTGTGGGGGGGACAAGTGTCATAGTTGAGGTGTGTGTGTGGGCAACAAGTGTGATAGTTGAGGTGTGTGATACACACGGGCTGTGGGGGGGGGGGGGCAAGTGTTATATTTGAGGTGTGCGGGGGACAAGTGTGGTAGTTGAGGTGTGTGACACACACTGGCTGTGGGGGACAAGTGTGATAGTTGAGGTGTGTGGGGAACAAGTGTGATAGTTGAGGTGTGTGGGGGACAAGTGTGATAGTTGAGGTGTGTGGGGAACAAGTGTGATAGTTGAGGTGTGTGGGGAACAAGTGTGGTAGTTGAGGTGTGTGGGGAACAAGTGTGACAGTTGAGGTGTGTGGGGGACAAGTGTGATAGTTAAGGTGTGTGGGGAACAAATTTGATAGTTGAGGTGTGTGGGGAACAAATTTGATAGTTGAGGTGTGTGGGGGACAAGTATGATAGTTGAGGTGTGTGGGGTCAAGTGTGATAGTTGAGGTGTGTGGGGAACAAGTGTGATAGTTGAGGTGTGTGGGGAACAAGTGTGATAGTTGAGGTGTGTGGGGAACAAGTGTGATAGTTGAGGTGTGTGGGGAACAAATTTGATAGTTGAGGTGTGTGGGGGACAAGTGTGATAGTTGAGGTGTGTGGGGAACAAGTCTGATAGTTGAGGTGTGTGGGGAACAAATTTGATAGTTGAGGTGTGTGGGGGACAAGTATGATAGTTGAGGTGTGTGGGGTCAAGTGTGATAGTTGAGGTGTGTGGGGTCAAGTGTGATAGTTGAGGTGTGTGGGGAACAAGTGTGATAGTTGAGGTGTGTGGGGAACAAATTTGATAGTTGAGGTGTGTGGGGAACAAGTGTGATAGTTGAGGTGTGTGGGGAACAAGTGTGATAGTTGAGGTGTGTGGGGAACAAATTTGATAGTTGAGGTGTGTGGGGGACAAGTGTGATAGTTGAGGTGTGTGGGGAACAAATTTGATAGTTGAGGTGTGTGGGGGACAAGTATGATAGTTGAGGTGTGTGGGGGAACAAGTGTGATGGTTGAGGTGTGTGGGGGACAAGTATGATAGTTGAGGTGTGTGGGGGACAAGTGTGATAGTTGAGGTGTGTGGGGGAACAAGTGTGATGGTTGAGGTGTGTGGGGGACAAGTGTGATAGTTGAGGTGTGTGGGGAACAAATTTGATAGTTGAGGTGTGTGGGGAACAAGTGTGATAGTTGAGGTGTGTGGGGAACAAATTTGATAGTTGAGGTGTGTGGGGGACAAGTGTGATAGTTGAGGTGTGTGGGGAACAAGTCTGATAGTTGAGGTGTGTGGGGAACAAATTTGATAGTTGAGGTGTGTGGGGGACAAGTATGATAGTTGAGGTGTGTGGGGTCAAGTGTGATAGTTGAGGTGTGTGGGGTCAAGTGTGATAGTTGAGGTGTTTTGGGGAACAAATTTGATAGTTGAGGTGTGTGGGGAACAAGTGTGATAGTTGAGGTGTGTGGGGAACAAGTGTGATAGTTGAGGTGTGTGGGGAACAAATTTGATAGTTGAGGTGTGTGGGGAACAAATTTGATAGTTGAGGTGTTTTGGGGACAAGTGTGATAGTTGAGGTGTGTGGGGAACAAGTGTGATAGTTGAGGTGTGTGGGGTACAAGTGTGGTAGTTGAGGTGTGTGGGGAACAAGTGTGATAGTTGAGGTGTGTGGGGGAACAAGTGTGATGGTTGAGGTGTGTGGGGAACAAGTGTGATAGTTGAGGTGTGTGGGGAACAAGTGTGATGGTTGAGGTGTGTGGGGGACAAGTGTGATAGTTGAGGTGTGTGGGGAACAAATTTGATAGTTGAGGTGTTTTGGGGACAAGTGTGATAGTTGAGGTGTGTGGGGAACAAGTGTGATAGTTGAGGTGTGTGGGGTACAAGTGTGGTAGTTGAGGTGTGTGGGGAACAAGTGTGATAGTTGAGGTGTGTGGGGGAACAAGTGTGATGGTTGAGGTGTGTGGGGAACAAGTGTGATGGTTGAGGTGTGTGGGGAACAAGTGTGATAGTTGAGGTGTGTGGGGAACAAGTGTGATGGTTGAGGTGTGTGGGGGACAAGTGTGATAGGATAGTTGAGGTGTGTGGGGGGACAAGTGTGATAGTTGAGGTGTGTGGGGGACAAGTGCGATAGTTGAGGTGTGTGGGGAACAAGTGTGATAGTTGAGGTGTGTGGGGAACAAGTGTGATAGTTGAGGTGTGTGGGGAACAAGTGTGATAGTTGAGGTGTGGGGGAACAAGTGTGATAGTTGAGGTGTGTGGGGAACAAGTGTGATAGTTGAGGTGTGTGGGGAACAAGTGTGATGGTTGAGGTGTGTGGGGAACAAGTGTGATAGTTGAGGTGTGGGGGAACAAGTGTGATAGTTGAAGTGTGTGGGGGAACAAGTGTGATAGTTGAGGTGTGTGCCACCCCCCAGTGGAACGGAATGTAAGAAAACAAAGCCCATACATGGTGAACCCCTGGTACACAGGAGGTTCGAGCTAGCACAAGGACGTGAGGTAGATGATAAGACAATTCGTTTAGACTGTCAGGACCCACGGGCAAGAGCAAGGTTACAGGGCTACATACTGGCTACATGTCACATAGACTACAGGTCAGACGGGCTACCTGTCACTGTCACACGGCTACCTGTCACTGTCATACTGCCACATGTCAAATGGGCTATATGTGACCGTCATACGAGCTACATGTAACCGTCATACGAACAACATGTGACCGTCATACGGTCTACAGTTGACCATCATACGAGCTACATGTGACCGTCATACGGGCTACATGTGACCGTAATACGGGCTACATGTGACCGTCATATGGGCTACATGTGACCGTCATACGGACTACATGTGACCGTCATATGGGCTACATGTGACCGTCATACGGGCTACATGTGACCGTCATACGGACTACATGTGACCGTCAAACGGGCTACATTAGACCGTCATAGGGGCTACATGTGACCGTCATATGGGCTACATGTGACCGTCATATGGGCTACATGTGACCGTCATATGGGCTACATGTGACCGTCATATGGGCTACAGTTGACCGTCATAAGGGCTACATGTGACCGTCATACAGGCTACATGTGACCGTCATACGGGCTACATGTGACCGTCATATGGGCTACATGTTACCGTCATATGGGCTACATCATTACATGTGACCGTCATATGGGCTACATGTGACCGTCATACGGGCTACATGTGTCCGTAATACGGGCTACATGTGACCGTCATATGGGCTACATGTGACCGTCATACAGGCTACATGTGACCGTCATACGGGCTACATGTGACCGTCATATGGGCTACAGTTGACCGTCATAAGGGCTACATGTGACCGTCATACAGGCTACATGTGACCGTCATACGGGCTACATGTGACCGTCATATGGGCTACATGTTACCGTCATATGGGCTACATCATTACATGTGACCGTCATATGGGCTACATGTCACGTCATACGGGCTACATGTGACCGTCATACGGGCTACATGATACACGGGCCACACTTTAAAATCACAAGGGCTACAAATATTCTGAAATAAACTTCTGAACATGGCAGTCGAAGAAATATTTTATCAGCCTCCGACAACGGGGTTTTCCCAGGAAGAAAAACCTCTCGCTTTATTTATTTATATTTTTTTTTATTTACATCATCTCAATTTTTTGGCCGAGCATTGATTTGCCCCTACAAATATCGGGGAACGGAAGTTGTAAATCACGACCTACACTAAGGAACGGATGCTGTAAATCACGATACAAACTTTAAGAACGAAAGTTGTAAACCATTGGGGGTAGGTACTTGTAAATCACAAGGTAAACAGTAGTTATTTTAAATTGTAAAACATGTTTTGTAGATTTTTCTGTTGAATACAAGCCCTGATCAGGCCTCTGTGAAAAAATCGTAAAGGACGATAACTTTTGTATTTTTTTTAAGCAGCATTGACACGGCATTGCACGGGTTTAGGAAATATATTACTATTTCAATTAAATGTATATATACTAATATGGAGGCATAACCCAACACCTAACTCTAACTGTAAACTTAACCCTAACCACAACCAACCACAACATAAACTAAAACAAAAACACAAACTCTAACAAAAAAATTCAAACACAAACGCAAATGTAAACAAAAACGAAACACAAAGAAACGCAAATACAAACATAAACGCGACCGCGAACAAAAACACAAGCGCAAACGTAAACGTAACGTAAAAGTAAACATTAACATAAACGCAAACACAAAAACAAATAGAAAAGCAAACACAAACGCAAACACAAATACAAATAGAAACGTAAATACAAACGCTAACGAAAACACAACAATAAAAAAAAAGTATTTATTTTTAATTATTTTTTGAAAGTCACATATGTACAAAGGGACGTAATTTGTATACTTTTTTTCAAACAAAATTAGAATTTTTGTAAAAGTAATACATTTTTTTTATTTTGTTCTTTGCATGTTATGTCGATCAAACTAATAAGTTGAAAAATGAAAATGTAGTTTAAAAATTATCAATATTCAGTTTTTAAATCATCAATTTTTATGTTATTTCAAAAATAAAAACTTTAAGAATATTACACTATGGCGATCAAGTCGAGTTTTTTTTTACTGAATGTATTTATTCCATAGGGACGACTTTTGTCACATTCCGAGACAGTATTAAGGAACTATTGTTATCGTGCAAAAAAAAAGTAAATGAAATTTAAATACTTTTCGCCGTTTTACATCTCCCCACTGTATCGTAAATGGAATACAAAGGATGCATTGTAATAGTGCACATATCTTAATCGAGTTTTTGACAAATTTTGACGTTTTTTAAAAAAACGGAGCCGGAAACCGACACCATTTAAGTTATGTTGACCACATTTTCGTATACAAGTATTAATATCAAATTTTTGGTTTTCTATCAGCTTTTGTTCGATTTCCGAGTAAGTGATACGTACTCTAGTTCCGGTCTCTATAAAGTTGATAACTTGAATACAATTAAATTTAGGTTGACGAAATTTCAAATATCAATACTAGATTATGTGTAAGTTCCGTTCAACTTTTGTACGGAAAAGATACGTTGCTCTATTTCCTTTGGAATATGATAGATTGAATACGTTTTTCAGTTAGGTAAACACTATTTCATGTATAAGATCTTTTACAGGATTAGTTTCAAAGGGTGAGAGTATTTCCGTTTTATAAAACACAGGTAACACATATTCCGCTTCAATTAGATAAACGAAATTTTATAAATGTGTATAAGATCTTATTATCTTGACTTGTCAAATTTTGAGTGATTTTCTGTGACCGGAAGTAGTACTTTATGGTATTTCCGATTTCCCCAAAAAAATATCACTTCTAAACTTCTATTCACACGCTAAAATATGTATCAAATATATACTAGAATATCACTCGTTAAAAAATATGTATCAAACGTGCATTATATTTCAGTTTTAAATTGAGTAGTAAAAATGTGTATAAGTAGGCCTACTTTCATACGATTATGTGCAATTGGCATTTTTAGCTTATCCAAAATGTGTACTAAACATGCATCAAAAGTGTACCAAAAGTGTATGAGAAATGTGAGTGATGTTGCGATCACATCTTCAAATTCATCCATCTCTGATAGATGAGTAGTGTGGACATAGTGAACATCCTACTGACCCCAGTAAGGTGAATTAGTGAGCTGACCCCAGTAAGGTGACTTAGTGAGCTGAACCCAGTAAGGTGACTTAGTGTGCTGACCCCAGTAAGGTGACTTAGTGTGCTGACCCCAGTAAGGTGACTTAGTGAGCTGACCCCAGTAAGGTGACTTAGTGAACATCATGCTGACCCCAGTAAGGTGACTTAGTGTGCTGACCCCAGTAAGGTGACTTAGTGTGCTGACCCCAGTAAGGTGACTTAGTGTGCTGACCCCAGTAAGGTGACTTAGTAAGCACCATGCTGACCCCAGTAAGGTGACTTAGTGAGATGACCCCAGTAAGGTGACTTAGTGAGCTGACCCCAGTAAGGTGACTTAGTGAACATCGTGCTGACCCCAGTAAGGTGACTTAGTGAGCTGAACCCAGTAAGGTGACTTAGTGAACATTATGCTGACCCCAGTAAGGTGACTTAGTGAACATTATGCTGACCCCAGTAAGGTGACTTAGTGAACATTATGCTGACCCCAGTAAGGTGACTTAGTGAACATTATGCTGACCCCAGTAAGGTGACTTAGTGAACATTATGCTGACCCCAGTAAGGTGACTTAGTGAGCTGACCCCAGTAAGGTGACTTAGTAAACAACTTGTTGACCCTAGTAAGGTGACTTAGTGAGCTGACCCCAGTAAGGTGACTTAGTGAGCTGACCCCAGTAAGATGACTTAGTGAGCTGACCCCATTAAGGTGACTTAGTGAGCTGACCCCAGTAAGGTGACTTAGTGAGCTGACCCCATTAAGGTGACACAAGTCAACTCTGATTCACCCTTAGCTATCGATTGTCTGGTAAAAGGTGACCTTTCTAGACTGTAGTCTCTTTCTCTCTTTCCCTCTCTTTCCCTCTCTCTCTCATTCTCTCTCTCTCTCTTTCTCCCTCTCTCTCCATCTCTCTCCCTCTCTCTCTCTCCCTCTCTCTCTCTCTTTCTCTATTTCTCTCTCTCTTTCTCTCTCTCTTTATCTCTTTCTCTCTTTCTCTACAAAATTGCCTTTAACACTAGATCTCAGTATGTTAGGTTTAAAACAAAACAAAGAACAGAAAATGTGTGTAGACGAAAAAAAGAAATTTAAACACATGGTCCCCAGACATTAAGTGTTACATTTAAAGAGGGGGGGGGGGGCAGGGTGAGTGAGTTGGGTGTGGGGGGGGGGGGAGCAGGGTGAGTGAGTTGGGTGTGTGGAGAAGGGGAAGAGTGGGCGGAAGACAAGAATTAAAATGCGAGTGCTGTGGTGTAGGCGTTCAAATGTTATACTGTTCTATAATATCAGAGCTTATATGACATTTGTTGTTCTCTATGATAGAGATAACATGTCATTAGGCGATTCTCTATGGTAGAACTATCATGTGTGGTTTTGTATGGTAAAAGTAGCATTTAGTGATCCTCTATGAACTATCATGACATTTGTGGTTCTCAAAAGTAGAGCTCACATGTCATTGGGTGATTCTCTATGGTAAAAGTATCATGTGATTTAGTGATCCTCTATGACATATATAGTAGAGAGATCACATGTCATTTGGAAGCCATGTAAGATTGTGATCCAGTTAAAAAAACATCGCTTTAAGTTAATCTTTTCTTCTTAAAAACGTTCATTTACAAATTTGATGCATCGTATAGACAGCACACATAGACAACATAGACAGCACACAGGACAACATAGAAAGCACACATGACAACATAGACAGCACACAGGACAACATAGACAGCACACAGGACAACATAGACAGCACACAGGACAACATAGACAGCACACAGGACAACATAGACAGCACACATAGACAACATAGACAGCACACAACAACATAGACAGCATACAGGACAACATAGAAAGCACACGACAACATAGACAGCACACATAGACAAAATAGACAGCACACATAGACAACATAGACAGCACACACGACATAGACAGCACACAGGACTACATAGACAGCATACAGGACAACATATACAGCACACATAGACAACATAGACAGCACACATAGACAACATAGATAGCACACACACGACAACATAGACAGCACACATAGACAACATAGACAGCACACACGACATAGACAGCACACAGGACTACATAGACAGCATACAGGACAACATAGACAGCACACATAGACAACATAGACAGCACACATAGACAACATAGACAGCACACATAGACAACATAGACAGCACACAGGACAACATAGACAGCACATAGAACAACATAGACAGCACACAGGACAACATAGACAGCACACAGGACAACATAGACAGCACACAGACAACATAGACAGCACACAGGACAACATAGACAGCACACATAGACAACATAGAAAGCACACAGGACAACATAGACAGCACACAGACAACATAGACAGCACACATAGACAACATAGACAGCACACAGGACAACATAGACAGCACACAGGACAACATAGACAGCCCACAGGACAACATAGACAGCCCACAGGACAACATAGACAGCACACATAGACAACATAGACAGCACACAGGACAACATAGACAGCACACATAGACAACATAGATAGCATACAGAACAACATGTACATCAACTTCACTGACGGCTTGAAACGTCAACAAATGTGTTGAGATCTATCTGCGATATTACATCCATGTACAGATAACCAAATCACTAGAATCAAAGAAATCAATTTCTACATCGTAACGTGTTCGCTTTCATTTAATATAAATGCATCTCAGCAATGTACAGCTAATTTCATTTTCACGTCGCTACCATTCACAGTTGATCAAATTTTCATACGACAACAAATTACAGTAAATAAAACTTCTGCAACATCTAACAGGAAATTGATTCATCGCCATAATTCAGTTTTACACTGCCCATAATTCATCTTTCCACTGCCCATAATTCAGTTTTACACTGCCCATAATTCAGCTTTCCACTGCCCATAATTAAATTTCCCACAACCCATTATTCAGAATGTTACTGGCCCTAATACAAGATTCCACAAACCGCAATACAACTTCCTACCGACGATAATCAACTTATCACTGGCCACAATAAAACTTTTACTAACCACCATTCAACTTAACACTGGCTCTAATACAATTTTCTATAAACGATAATTCAGCTAATCACTTGCCCTAATACAACTTTCTACTGGCCTTAAAACAAACTCTACTCGCCACAAAACAACATTCTACTGGCAATTAGTTTTACCTCACCCCACATGTTTTAAAAAATTTTTATCTCAAGTTGTGTGTTCCATTGTTTAGTCTTGCTTGTCTGCCCCTGATGTGTAATTAAATGGAAATTTTAAGTCAGGTAGTTTAATTATGGGGAATTCTTAACATGTTTTGTATTTTAGTTGAAAGAAAATGCAAGTCATGTTGTGTATTGTGACTGAAGGGAAATTCATGTTATGTAAGGAAATTTTAATCAATTACAAACTTCTTAGGTAGAAACTTTTGTTAATAATGAAAGTAGGAAACAGCCACTATTATCTATAAGACGTTAAGATGTTAAGTGTGTTATTTTATATTTACAACCTGTGTTAACAAACTACTAATACCATTACATCTTCAGAAATGTCTAATAAAAACATGCGGTACCTAACCTGTGGTCAATAATGTCAAATGAGAACATAATGTATTTTACCTGTGGTCAATAATGTCAAACAAAAACATGTGGTACCCAGATGTGGTCAATAATGTCAAACAAAAACATGTGGTACCCAGATGTGGTCAATAATGTCAAATGAAAACATGCGATACCCACCCGTGGTCAATAATCTCAAATGAAAACATGCGGTACCTTACATGTGGTCCATAATGTCAAATAAAAATAAGCGGTACCCACCTGTGGTCCTCTAGATGGCGTGGAAATGTCGTCGTCGTAGACGGATCTGTCGCCTGGCACCACGCCGTTGTCGTCGGTGCCAGTCCTCCAGCGTCTCCTGACACGTTTGGTCCGTCGGTTTCTTCTGGGCGCCGGGTGGTGCTGGGGGCGTCTTGACCTCTGGCGTGACACGGGGAATGTCTGTCCGAAGTTTGTCTGTCCGAGGTTTGTCTGTCCGAGGTTTGTCTGTTCGAAGTTTCTCTGTTCCGAATTTGTCTGTTCGGAGTTGGCCTGTCCGGAGTTGGTCTGTTCAGGCTTGACCGATGAAATATTTTGAAGAACATGATCATCTCTAACCCCAGAAAAGTTCTGAGCCTCAGCGCCCACACCCGTGGTGTCAATTGAAGGCTGGTTGAAATAAACTCCAGGTGAACTCGAATGCTTGAAAGTTGACCGTTTGCTTTTAGACGCGCGCTCCCCGGAGATCTCTTGTTTACTGTTGTCCCTGCCCATGTTGTTATCCCTCCTGAGCTGCCTTAGACGTCTTTGAAAGAGATATTCGGAATTAACACGGTGGGAATAACGATACGGAACAGACGCTAACACCTCTCGCATGTTCACGGGTGACAAATGAGATTTGGCGAGATTTGATAAAAACGTTGATCGTTTATTGAGAGAGATGGATGAAGGGGCAGATAACGCCGAAGAAATGTTTTCATTATCTACCACTCCGGCAGGGGTGAGGGGCGCCTGGTTATTCTTAGACGAATGCAGGGGCATAACTCGTCTCCGCTTCGAGAAATGCCAAGTATTTAGAGCAGAAAATCGTCGGCTAATTACCTCCCGTGTTGCGGGTTTCTCTGGGACGCTATCGGCGTTGGCTTTTACGAGTGGCGTAACGTTGTTTATTGGGCCCTGTTTGACGCCTTCAGAGGCCGAAATTGGGCGATCTTCTGTCGTTAGCCCAGATATTCGTCTCTCTAAAATCGGGGCCGGAGTCAGCTTTAGATTTTTATCCTGGCCATTGACTCCGATGACGCCATGTTCTTCCGGGTTCGCCGGTTCCCATTTGGAGAATCCGGATCCACTTCTGATCCGGTACGTATCTTGTATAACCAAATTCGTGCTCGATTTTGGAGGAAAATACGAATTTTGATCGGGCAATAACGGATTAAGTTTCAGATTTTTTATCAAAGACGAGTTCTGATAATTAAAAAATGACGTCGATGTCAAAGAACGATTTGCGTCAGAGGAAGAGAAAAAATTTATTTCGGAAACAGCTCGGGTTTTTTCAGATAATAGTTTCCTTCTGAAGACGAGAATTTTAGAGTGCGACTGTTGATCCAAGGCGCCCCCACGCGCCCACGTCCTAGACCGACGCCGGTGTTTGGCAACCCGATCTCCCGACAACACCATGGGCGTGCGGCCCGCGGTCCGCCAACCCGATGTTCCGTCGACTGTTTGGTCAAGGAAGTTGTCGGACGAGTTGGTTGTTGGTATCGATCCTGAGTTGGTTGTTGGTATCGATCCTGAAAACATGGATCGCACGACGATGCGGAGATTACCGAAACAAAGGAGAAGTAGAGCCACGGTCAAGGTCATCAATTGAGACATCTTGATGACGTCATGTAAAGCGAGGAAAGACAACCCGTTCGTCCACGGAAGAGCTGGAAAAGAAAAAAAATATTTCATTAGCCGTTTATTAGATGTCAGAAATTATTTACACGTTCTATATACATATCTATAAATATATATATATATATATATCAGAATAAAATCGAAAGTTAATTGTTTCTTGTAAATACAAAGCTGATTATTTTGTAAATTGAACTAAGTGAACCCTTCTCCAGAAACCACTTGAAAATATTTCATAACAGTAGCTGCATTTGTTTAATGTAGTTGCTTTGCTTTTATCATAAATTTAAGACGTTAATTTTTAAAAGGGTGTTAATATAATGGCTTTATGACACGTTTTTAAATACACAGTTGTTGAATTTAAATATGAGCCAGTCGATAGTGTAATTTCATAAGGAAAACGTTCATAGAGTATCTTATTTTTAATAACAAGATAATCATAACGTGAAAATTATACTGACATAAAACAGCTGTTTGATAAATGGACAACTGTAATCTTTGAGTGGACATTTCACTGACATGAGGTAGATAGGGGTCGGCGTGGTCGAGTCGGTATAGCTCATGGTTGCTAAACCGAAAAGTCTCGAGTTCTAACCCTCGGGAAGATGAGGCTCGTTAGCTGGGGACAGCCACTCTTCTAGGAGAGACAACTCCAAAAATTAAACAACTGCTGCCTTGTAGTTTGTTCTTGGTTGGACAAAGGCTATGGAAGCAAATCTAAAAAGAAAATCAGGCTGAAATCGGAGTCAATGGCCTCAATGGCGCATAACCAGTTGACACGTAACGCTTAATTGTGTTGGAGGCGTGGTCGAGTCGGCAAAAAAAGCTCATGGTTGATAAATTCGAACAAAGTCTCGAGTTCAAACCCACTGGCAGATAAATCTCGATCCCCTTCAACACTAATAAATAAGAACGAAGAAGAAGAAAGAACTAACATGAGACCGCTACTTGACAAATAAACAACTGTAATCTTTGACTGGACATTTCACTGACCTAAGATTGACTGGTACTTGACAAATGGACAACTCTAATCTTTGACTGGACATTTCACTGACCTATGATGGACTGCTACTTGTCAAATGGACAACTCTAATCTTTGACTGGACATTTCACTGACATGAGACTACTACTTGTCAAATGGACAACTCTAATCTTTGACTGGACATTTCACTGACCTCAGACTGCTACTTGACAAATGGACAACTCTAATCTTTGACTTGACATTTCACTGACATGAGACTACTACTTGTCAAATGGACAACTCTAATCTTTGACTGGACATTTCACTGACCTCAGACTGCTACTTGACAAATGGACAACTCTAATCTTTGACTGGACATTTCACTGACCTGAGACCGCTACTTGACAAATGGACAACTCTAATCTTTGACTGGACATTACACTGACCTGAGACCGCTACTTGACAAATGGACAACTCTAATCTTTGACTGGACATTACACTGACCTGAGACCGCTACTTGACAAATGGACAACTCTAATCTTTGACTGGACATTTCACTGACCTAAGACTGCTACTTGACAAATGGACAACTCTAATCTTTGACTGGACATTTCACTGACCTGAGACAAATGGACAACTCTAATCTTTGACTGGACATTTCACTGACCTGAGACAAATGGACAACTCTAATCTTTGACTGGACATTTCACTGACCTGAGACCGCTACTTGACAAATGGACAACTCTAACCTTTTACTTGACATTCAACTGAGACCGTGGATTTTTCCAGTAGCGGGGTCAGGGGGGAAGGGGGGTTGACATTCCAAAAATAGAACTAGACAGAGACTCTTTGAGCCTGTATGCCGTACATGCTTGTAGAGCAGTCACACCCACTCACCCAAATATAGACACGGTGACATTGTGTTGTCGTCCTCGGGGAGTCATGTTGATGAAGTAAGTAATCTACATTTGGTGGTACCGTGTGAAGGCTACATTTTAACTATACTTAACTGTGCAGTGTGAAGGCTACATTTTATCTTCACTTCGCGGTACCGTGGGAGTGCTACATTTTAACTACTCTTAACTGTACCGTGTGAATGCTACATTTTATCTACACTTAACTGTACAGTGTGAATGCTACATTTTAACTATACTTAACTGTACAGTGTGAATGCTACATTTTAACTATACTTAACTGTACAGTGTGAATGCTACATTTTAACTATACTTAACTGTACAGTGTGAATGCTACATTTTAACTACACTTAACTGTACAGTGTGAATGCTACATTTTAACTACACTTAACTGTACAGTGTGAATGCTACATTTTAACTACACTTAACTGTACCGTGTGAATGCTACATTTTATCTACACTTAACTGTACAGTGTGAATGCTACATTTTAACTATACTTAACTGTACAGTGTGAATGCTACATTTTAACTATACTTAACTGTACCGTGTGAATGCTACATTTTATCTACACTTAACTGTACAGTGTGAATGCTACATTTTAACTATACTTAACTGTACAGTGTGAATGCTACATTTTAACTACACTTAACTGTACAGTGTGAATGCTACATTTTATCTACACTTAACTGTACAGTGTGAATGCTACATTTTATCTACACTTAACTGTACAGTGTGAATGCTACATTTTAACTATACTTAACTGTACAGTGTGAATGCTACATTTTAACTACACTTAACTGTACAGTGTGAATGCTACATTTTAACTACACTTAACTGTCCAGTGTGGATGCTACATTTCAGCTATATGTTTAACACAGCACAAAAAGTAATTTTTGCCAACAGCTCGTACAACTGGATCCTCCGAGTAGCCCCCACTGGCTATTGACAGATGGCATCTTTCAAGCTAAGATAAAGCTATTCGAACTCTTGCGAGTACTGACGCAAACAAATACATCTTATCACTGCTAGCTTTCCAATACCACAATATTGGCACCACAATAGAACTGATAGGTTTCTCGCTAGGGTTGTCTTAAAATAAGGACATAGGTAATATGATAGGTTATATGATGGTAAGTTCAGGTGGGTGCTGAGCATAGCATTTTTAATCCAAGCACATTTTTACTCACTCAAATCCTTAAATATGTGACCCCGCCCCCCCCCCCCCCCCCATCTGTTGCATGACCCAGGCTACCAAGCATGACCTACCACTTTCCTCCACTAATGGACCCCGACAAAAGAACGCAGTCCCTGTATAAGCAAGGACCAGACGGCTAAATCTTGACTCGGAGAAACTCATCCCCAAAAATTGCTAGCCGAGAGAACTACTGATACATTATATTGATAGGTTAAATAAAGGCTAAAGGTTAAACTAAATGGAGTGAAGGACCGCGCAGGACTTTAAACATGTGTTTGTTCAACCCAGTGGTAGTGACGGGAAATGATTGTGTAAACAAGAGCTCTGTGTGTCAGCATTAGCTCAAGAGTTCTGTCTGGTCATCTAATTCACACAATTTGAAGTTTCTTCTGGCTTTTGATTTTTCATTACAAGTGAGATTTAGAATTTCTTGTAAGTGTTGTTCTTGCCTGGGAAAAGTCATAATTGAGAATCTACTTCATCGGATAGTTTGTATGTTTGTTTGTTTGTTTGTCTAATGACTGACATACTTCACCTCTCGTTGGATGGATAAGGGTGTTGTCTCTATGACCCGTTGTTTTAGTTTTTTTAGTTTGTCATGTGTTGAGAATTTGAGATCACTAACACCTGTAGTGGGCAAAAGGAAACTATAAATATTGGCCGGAACATTCTACTTAATAAGTTGTACAATCTCAGCTACTATTTTGGTTCGGTGAGGTGGGGGGGGGGGGGGGAATCACATCCCTTAGTTCAAAGATTGAATGTTATTGAAATCCTGATAGATAGATTAGTCACTTTTTTTTAGCT